GATCCCGCCGCCCCTGCACGCCCCCGCCCAGTGCCACCTGGGGTCGGTCTCGCACGCGCTCTCCCATCGCTCTCCTTCCCCTGGGCTGCTGGGTGCGCTGCGTCCCAGGCCCGGAGCAGAGATGCAGAGAAGCCCCCCAGCCTGGCAGGAAGGTCCCTGCTTATTTGGTGGCTTGGTCTGGGGGTCTCCAGGCGGGAGGGCCTGGGTCTCCTTTGGGGGAGAAGCCGAGTCAATGACGGCCTCATTAGCCTCAGCTGAACCCCAGAGGCTCTTCTTGTGCCCTGGGAGGTTGAGCACCCAGACAGAAGGAGGGACAGAGGCTTCTGGGTCCCTTAGCAGCCCACACAGCTGCCTATGGCCGTGACCTCAGCTCAGTCCTACCTTGACTCTAACCCATTTCCATCCAGATGTGGTCAGAGCCACAAGCGGGGGCTCTGTCTGTCAGAGAAACAAACCTGCCCTCGGGAGATACACAGGCGATGCTTTGACCCTTCGCTCCTCCTCCTCCTTCCAAATCTTCAAGGCCCCTTTGCCTTGAGGCTCGAAGCCCACGCCCTTCAGCACCCGGAGCTGCCTCACTGCGGTCCTGCTGGAGTCCGCTCTGTGGGCTCTCCCCGCTCGCCCTGCAGGCCCTGCGCGGTCGTCCACTTCCGGCGGTCCCTCCCCCGACCCAGGCTTTGTCCCCCTGGTCCCTGCAGCCAGGCCTAGTGCCGTGCTCCCCTGCTCCCGTGCAGGCCACCCTCCTGGCCTTCCCTCTGCGGCCGCTCTGCCTTGCTTAGGAAGCCAGCTGGGGAGTGGGCAGTTTTCCCACCTCTGCCGGTGCTCTCCTGGCCAAGCCCCCCGAGGGCGTGTGTCCCCCACATTCCTGGGCATGCGCTCACGGCCACCGTGTCCTCGCCTTGCCTTGCTCAAGAACATCCACCTAACAGTTCAAACCTGGCTCTCCCCAGGAGAGCACAGCGTCTTGCCGCGGGGTGCCTGAGTCAAGCCTCCTTCCCGTGGGCAGTGGGCCCATGTCCCTGATCGTCCACACCTTCAGATGACGCTCCTGGCAGCGTGGGTCTCTCCCACATTCAAGCCCCAATATCTGACCCCCCCTCCCCTGGCACAGTCCCCACAGGTCCCGTCTGTCCCGACTCCAGTGCCTCGATGAGCCACACAAACCAGACATGACCTCGTGTCAGACATCGCAGGCCTCCCGGCTCCTGAGTGTGCCGCCCAGTATGGCCTGGGACGGGGGGGCTGGCTCATCCCTGATGGGCTTGTTCCCTGGCTGGTTCCTTCACTACTTGCAGACCATGCTGAGTGCCGAGTGACGGGCCAGACCTGACCCTCCCCACACTGCCCCCACACTGCCCCCACAGCCCCGTGAACCCCGCAATTTCCAGAAAGACCAGCTCTCTGGCTCACCGGCTGGTGTGGTCTTGCTTCTCTAGAAATTGTGCTGTGGTCTGGGCCTTGCTCTCCTACCCTGGCCTGCAGGGACAGCTCTGAGTGAGGACCGCAGGGGCTGCCCCCGTAGGGAACCCCGCACTTCCCAGGGGAGCAGCCGAGCAGGTGGGTGGCGGGATGGGAGGGAAGCTGGGCACGTGGGCTACGCAAGGGTCGAGAGGTGCAGGCCGACACCAGGGTTCTCTGACCTCGGGGGCCAGTGGGTGGAAGTGAGGCATCCAGCCTGAGAAGTTGGGCCTGGCTGGGCCAGAGCACAGGGTGGGGGCAGGGAGGACGGGGGAGGCAGTGGGGTGATATGGGGAGACAGGCCGCATCTGCTCTGTGTGACCCGCTGTGGCTCTGGCTGGAGCTCCCACACAGAACCTGTCCACAGCCCCATTCTCCCTCAGAGCATCCTCACCTGTGTGCTGCCAGGTCCGATGCCCCCACCCACCAAGCTGCCCCTGTCATGGCCCCAGGGGCCACGGCCGAGTCCGTGCACGGCCTGCCCGCAGCAGGCTCACATCAGGCGTCTGCTCCACTGCGAGCTGTCTCTGGCAGTAACCCTGGTAACCCCACCTCCCACATCCGCCCAGCACAAAGCAATCCTGCGGGCTCCTCGCCAAGTGCTCTGGCAGCGCACGCCGTCCCAGGCCCCCAGGCCGCGTGCCCCCTCCCCGCTCTCACCCACTGTCAGCAGACACCCCCGCCCATGAGTGGAGGGACCCAGGGGGAGGGTCCCCGAGAAGCAAGTGGCCAGGTGGCCTTGTGAGGGCAGGTGCTGGGGTGGGGTGGGTGGACTCTGGTTCAGGATCCTCCTGCAGCCTCTGCGGCCTTCCCATACAGGAGTCCACCCTTGCCTCCCTCCCGGTGGCCTGGCTGCTCCCTCGCCGGGCTCCTTTCTGCCTCCGACTGAGAAGGGGCTGCTACGGCCAATCCTGGAGGCCACACCAGGCCCGGGAGGTGACCACGGGACCAGGCTGATGGTTTTCAATCTGTGCACCTCCGAGCATCCAGGAGCCCCAGGAGCGGTGCCTTGGAGGCCAGCTGGTGGGGCGAGGCTGGGGACCAACTGTCCCAGTTTGTGCAGGACCGTAAGCTGGATGAGCTGGTCACTGCAGGTGAGGCTGCCCCGGCCACTCTGCCTCCTCCACTCCGTGAACCGGGAGGCCTCACTGGCACTTGGATCACGTAACACTGACAAGCCGGCCCCAGTGCTCAGGGGCATAAGCCTGGGAGATGAACAGATGGGTGGCTGGAGGGGGTGCTTAGCTGTGGGGTAACCAGGCAGAGGAGCTGTGGGCACACGGGTGCTCCTGCCGGGCCCTGCATCTGGTCTGACCTCAGGACACTCTCGGATGGAGCGCTGGGGTTGTCGTGGCTCCGTGGCTCCGGTGGCAGAATGCTTCCCTGGGGCCTGCTCTTCTGTTGTCTCGGCCTTGCCCCAGCCCAGGAGGGGGCGGAGAGTCTGCCCAGAGGGAAACCCATGCACTCGATCCTTTCTCTCTTGCTTGCATGTGCTGGTTTGCTTGGAGACTCAGAAGGAGTGCGGAAAAAGACCAACTTTGTCAGTCCTGAGGTGCTGGCTCCCTGGCCAGATGCCAGAGCCACGACTCATTCTGGGCGGGGGCTGGGAGGGGGGCAAGGTGCACCCCGGAGCCCCACACCTGCAGCACAGAGCACAGAGCCTGCCTCCTGGGGCCCCCCACCTCCCAGGTCGGAGCAGGGAAGAGCATCTCCTGCTGCCTGCCATCAGGCCTCCTTCACGCCCCCAGCCACCCTCCAGGGGAAGCAGAGCGGGGACTTCCGAGCTCCCCACTGCTGGCAGCGGCCCGGTTCCGGGGTGCTGAGTCAGCTCCTGCCCGCCCCACCCCCAGCACCTCCACCTGGCCGGCCCTCCTCCTGGGCAGGCCCCGGCTCGCCACCTCCTGGAGCCGGGGAGCGAGGCCAGGGTGCCAGCCCAGATGCTGCCCCAGCTGTTCCAGACTCCACCAACCCTGGCCGGGTTCTCCTCCCACCCGCTCCGGACCCAACGCCCGATCCTCCTTGACTTCTTCCAGAGAGGAGCTGGTGTCCCAGAGCCAGGTGGCCAAGGGGGCCTGGGCGCTGCAGACCCTGCCTGGGGAGGGTGGAGAGCTGCAGACAAGGGGGCCAGTGTCGTGGGCGAGGAGAGGTCAGCGGATTTGGACTGGCCTCAAAGGCAAGATGGAGCCATTAAAGAAAACATTAAGGGTTCAACTGCTGCTCCCTACGCTTATCGTGGTGATCACTTCATAATATGTACACATATCAAATCATCACCATGTACACCTTAACCTCTCTCCATGATACGTGTCAGTTATATCTCAATAAAGCGAGGGAAAAAACCCAAACTGCACGTGCACTATGCCCCCACACACCCAGGATCCAAATTCCTAAAGAGAAGGTAGATACCCCGATCCATCAGCGCTGGGAAAACCACAATCTGTAACTCCCTCCTCTCACACCCTTCTGGGAGGAAGTGGGGGCGCTCTGGGTGAGGCCAGGGGCAGGACAGGAGGGTGGGGAGAGGCTCCAAGCAGAAGATCAGGGGCTGCAAGGGGCCCGTGGCCACCTCTGGGGAATGGTGATGCACTGGCCTGTCCAGGGGTCTCACCAGGGACTGGAGGCACCGAGTAGGAGAGGGGCGCCATTGTCCCTGTGCGTTATGTCTCCCCAAGTTCTCCGAGCCCGAGCCTGTAACATGCAACAGCACCGAGCGCTTGCTGGGCCCCCAAGTCTTATCCGGGAACAAAGGACATCCGCGGAAAGACGGCCTATGGCCTACAGCAAGGCACCGGGGTGGTCTCTCCACCCCAAGATGTGAGCGTGATGGGGTGGGTGCAGGCGGGACCAGGGACAAGCCCTCCCCAACCAAGCGGGGAAGAAAGTCACAGGGCTGACGTGGGGTTGCAGCAAAGCGCGAACGCGGGAGGCCACGCTGTGGCTGATCAGTGTCCCCGCTGTCTCCTGAGACGGCCGTTCTGCGCTCTCTGCTGCCCGCCCGCCCTCGGCCCCTCCGCACCGGCAAACAAGGATGGCATCTCCCGGTCCTGGGCGCACGCCCCACCCCTGGAGCGCCGAGGCTGCTCGGGAGCTTTCCGGAGGGGACCCAGGGCTCTGAACCCGGGGAAGCAGGCAGCCCCGCCAGGCCCAGACTCCGACTGGCCCCGGGAGGCCCCACCCGACCCCGGCGGCACAGGATAACAGGCCACGCTTGCTCGCGGTGTGGCAGACGTGAATCAGGGTCTCCCTAAGCCCCCCCCCGTGCGCTCTCCAAGCACAGCCTCTGCTGGGAGCAGAAGTCGGAGACCTGGGGCATCCAGAGCGGCCGCCGGCCCTGTGACGGGGAGGCCGCGTCCCCGGACCAGAGAGCGCGCCCCGGAGCGCGCAGCCACAAGGCCCCCCAGCGCAAGCAGCCAAGGGTGACAGTGGGTGAGGCCGGGAGCGCGCTCTTCCCCAGGCTGGCTGACACTGGGAGACCCGAGTGGGGACCCCAGATAAGCCAGCCAGACGTGCCGCCTGCAGAGCGCGAGCCTGCGGGTGTGAGCGTGAGCCGCTGGAAGCCCTGCAGTGTGGCCCCTGGGTGCGCAGCGGAGACCCGCGTCCCGTCCGCTACGCGCCCTGCGAGCGGCTTAGACCCGGGACCAACCCCGCTGTGCGGCTCCAGCGGTGAACACGGCGCCCCCGCCGCCCGCCGCCTTGGCCTTTGTGCTTGACTCCCGAGCTCCTCCTGCGGCCCGTGCCGCCCCTCCCCTGCCCCCCCGCCGCCCCTCCCCTGTCCCCCATACCACCCCTCCCCTGCCCCCGTGCCTCCCCTCCCCTGCCCCCGCTACGTGCCGCCCCCGCTGCCGTCCCTCCCCTGCTGCCCTTGCCGCCCCTCCCCTGCCCCCCCTACGTGCCGCCCCTCCCCTGCCACCCCTGCCCTGCCCCCCCTACGTGCCGCCCCTCCCCTGC